AATTTAACTGCAGTGTTTGAGTATAATTTGTCCTATATTTCTTTTGCTTTCTCTGAGGAGTTACATAACTTTTTCATTTCTAATGAGGTTTCCTAAATATAAATTGTGATGTTATATTATGCACCTCCTTTGGCTGCAAACCAATTAATTTGAAGTGGTTCAAGGCCAAAGAGAAGTTTAGGATCACATTTTAGCATTCCTGGTGAAAGGTTTGTTTATGCACCTTTAAAAAAAAATAAATGGTTTAGTGGTTAAGTCCAGCTTCTGTTGGAATTGATCTTATCCTTTAAATTCATGTAATACTCTAAATTAAAAGGGGATTGTTTTGAACTACATGACCTTGTGTTACTTAGATGCTGTTTGAAATCCATTTGTATAATAGCCAAAACGTTATTTTGCCTCTCTAAATCAGGTAACTTTAGCCATTTAAATGACTGTTTAAATCATAAGCAGGATTAACCTGGGAAGAGATCAGTAAAAGATCAACCTCACTTTACCCCTAAAGCTGTGCTTCCTTGTGTTTGAGTATATCCCATCACTGCTGTCTCCCCAGATCCCTGTGCCAGACAGAGCTCTGCCTCCTCGTCACAGGACTGTCCCTTCTGTGCCCCAGCTTAGCCAGGGGCTGGGGCTGATATTTGGGAATATCAGGAGGCCTGGAGAACAAAGCATCTGCCTGTACTGATTCTCCCCTCCCTTTCTGCCCAGACCCAGAGCTGTCATCTCCCTGCTGGATTTTGGCACCTTCTCCTCACCAGGAGATGAACCTGCAGGCCTACAGATGGTGTGAGGAGGCACAGGACATAATCTGCCTTGCAGCACAATTTATCCCTTCTGCTGCACCTGCAAGCTCAGAGCACTGATTCTCAGAGCAACCCTTCTGCCTTTTACTGCCCTGTATTTTATGTGGGTGTATCACTGATGGTTTTGTCACCATTTGAGAAATACTGCTCTTGAGAATCTGAGTGCTTAGAACTTGTTCTGTCTCAGCATTATTCCAATGTGTGGACTACATTCTTTCTGAAAAATCTTATTTAGATAGATGTGTATGAATTCAGTATGACTACCCTAAGGATGCCAGACTTGGAAAAAGGTTCAGTGTTTTAAAGAATTTCACAGCTTTCCAGTGACCATTTCTCAGTTTTCCCCAAAGAAGAATTCAAACCCATCCTTTTCAGTAATTTTGGAAATAACAGATGTGCATTCTTCAGTAACAATACTTTCATTTTTATCTGACAGTTCTACGAATCTGACACTAAGTGAAAACCACTATTTTTCATACTGCTATTTTCTGTCACAAAGGTATCACTTCTGTTCATGCACAGGTTCACTATTCATTTATCCATTACCCATTTCAGTATGAATGCCACAATTTTGGAGTTGTTCACACATAAGCCTCTCACATATAGAAATCCAAGCATAAAATCCTAAAGAAAAAGTTAAGTTTTAGGTTCCCTGCTCTCCCAGTGTGGATTTGCTGGGCGGAGGGAGGGACTAAAGGGGCTGTATAACCTGAGCCCTGCCTGCTGAGGTGAACTCTTGGCTGCATCATGTGCTGGCAGCCATGCAGCTGCCTCTACCTGGCTGCATTTCCTGCACCTCCTTTGGTACATCACTTCATCCAAGTTTCCCTATTGCTGCCCAAGAGTTTAATATAATTTCTGAAGTTTATTAGCTTCCTAAAATAGATTGGTGGGAATGCTCTTCATCTTTGGTATTCGTAAGTAGCTCAGATACCAAAGGGACTGGATGCTTTAGGGGGAAAAACTGCTGGGACACCTGACAAACAGCAATAGGTATTGCTGCTCTCCTTCAGCAGAGTTTGTTCCCTTTCATGAATGCTTATGTTGCACAAGCAATTGCAGCATTTCACTGCATCAGCACTGTTCCTAATCCTGATTTGGAAACATCAACTGTTAGCTTGACAAAGCGTGACACATGGCACGTTGAAGTGTTTTCAGCTGCACTCACACAACAAATTGTGATGGCTCCAGAAGAGCCATTTCAATTGATTGTGTCAGTAAACTACAACCCACAAAAAAAAAGACATGTGCCCAACCTGAATAAAGCATCATCAAATCACAAATAATAGATTAATTGTCACAATTTCAGCCTCATTTTTAGAAAAAACTATTCTGCAGGGAAAAAAATCCTGTAATTTCTAGATGTTTTGCCCATGATGAATCAGAAGTCCAGCCCTATGGAATGTAACAATTTACAACATTTCCTTAATTTCCATATGTAGACATTGTGTGACTTTATTCTTCATGTTTGTGCTTCAAAACGAGGGCTTGGTAAGCGGTCAAAATGTAGGCTGTCCCTGCAATTGCTCTTTCTCCAGCTTTTGTAAGACATGGGCCTATTCTTATTTGAAAAAGACTTCTGTATCTTTTCCTAACCAACTTCCAGCAAACACAAGCTCCACATTACTTCCTTTTTTCTATTTCCTCTGCTAGTTACTTCATTGGGAAGTGCTACACCTGCTTGATGGTGAAGTGCAAATTTTCAGCTTTCATAGTCAGGCTGATGGCACACAGGGGGAATTCTAAACTCACTGAGACCATTAAGGTTTCAGAGTAAGTAAATCAGGGTACAATCTCACCTAATGAGAGTAGCCCCCAGGTCATCAATTCTGTGAGTGCGCTGCTTTTCCTGTTGCCCACATACCCACAAGGAGCTGCAATGTTTCCTCAGAGATAACTAACATGAGATAAGGATTGCTGGCCATGACACTTCCGTGGCTCAGCAAGGATGTGGCTTGTTTGTTAAGCACCTGAAATCTGAGTTACTTTGTAGAAGATAGAGTTTCTTCCCCAAATTTAAAATTCCCTGAATAACCGCAGCAAAATGACCTACAACAGGAGCCCTGGAGAAAAGAGGTGTGCTAGTTTCAACAAATCAATTTATTTTCAAATAATGTTTATACTAATATACACCTTTTTGCCTTGTTAAGGCAGCAACTTCTGACTAGGAAGCTTTTATAACTAAGTTACTTCATTTTTTCTTCTAAAACCATCAGTAGCAAGCTAGAGTTGGCTATTTGATATCAGAAATTAAAGCCTTTTAATGGCTCATTTTACACAGCTGGCAAATACAGTTAGTCTTTATTAGTCACAGATATTTTTTGTGTGCATGCACATGCACGAAAAACACAGAGCTTTTCTTCTTTTACCTCATAGTAATGGGGTGACATGCACTTAAATGAAAACGATGTAAGCCACTGAGTGCAAGCATGAGTGACAACAAGTGGAGTGTTCAGTTGCTTAACAAAAAGGTTTTTTTCTGAAAGACTAGAAAACCAGGTAAGACCAAAAGCAGATACCATTAAAGAAATGCACAGTGGCAAAGAGAATAACTCTGTGCAAACAGGCTATCCAAATTTCTCCTTTTCTCTGCAACAGACATTAAACAGAGTAACCTGTGCACATGCTCACATAACGAAAAAAAATACCTCACCAGCCAACTGGGGAATTTAAATCCATTCATCTTAATCCAATACTGCCTCAGGCACACACTTAATACACAATTGCCCTAAGCTTTTGACAATCTTCAGCCAATAGGGCTCAAATATAAAATCACAAAAGCTAGAGATGAAAGAACCTAGTCAGTCAATTTGTTAAACCATTTGCTGTGTTATTTGGGCTCCCTGTAGTATACTGTCAAATACACTTCAGATTATCACTTGGACTTTTGATGTCATTTGGGTTCTGAATGACTTTGCTTCACAGACAAATGAATGGATTGCACTCATCCTTCTGCGGGTTATTAATCCGTTTTGTTCAAGAACACTTGTAAGACAAGGGCTTTGACAAAATTAAATAATTCAAGTGTTTCTTGTTTTCTGAGAAACTGCTTCATTTCCACTCACAGGTGCAATTTTCTATATAAAATGAAACCCCTTTTCTTGTACTTAACACATGCAAGCATGATTTATGAAACGTTACTCGGGTAAGACAAGCTTATTTTACACTTTATTTACTCAGGACAGAACACTGATGGGAGAAATAAATGAGATAGACAGGATGATCCATAGCTGGAGACACGACTTGCTTTGTGCCACAGCCAGAAAGGGCCTTTAGCATTACAGACCATTGATCTCAGCAAAACGGGATGCGTGTTGGATTGAGCAACTGGAACAAACCACGCGGAGAGGCTGCTCATGCTGGCATCTGCGAGAAGAGGTTGGTTGGTTTTGAAGCATGAAACTGGCTCTAGGCTGAGCACCTGTCTGCCTCTCGTCTCTCAGAGCTGCCTACCATGCCAGGCACTTGTTGCATCGCCCACAGCGCTTTCCCTGCGCCGGCTGGGCAGCAATGCACCTGCAAGACGCCAAGAGGAGCATGCTGGCTGCCTTGGCTTACAGGAGACAGCGCACTGAATACGAATCACTGGGTTTTTTCCGCCCCGAGCCTGTAAGATGTCCTCTGTCTCCTAGCTGCGAGGCTCCGCAATGCCTTTGCCCGGGAGTGACGCGAGCCCGGCCCCAGGGCTCGCATCCCCCGCTTGGCAGAGCGGACCCGGGCCGGGCTCCCCCCGTGCTGACCGCACACCGTCCCGTCCCGTCCCGTCCCGTCCCGTCCCGTCCCGTCCCGTCCCGTCTCTTCCCTTCCCCTTCCCCGCAGGAACGGCCGAGGGAGCGGAGCTCCCCCCCCTCAGCGGCCAGAGCCCCTCGCCGCCGCCGCCGCCGCCGCCGCCGCCTCCTCCTCATGTAGCGCGGCTTCCCCGCCCCAAGCACCGCCGCTGCCCCGGCCGGGGCTCTCCGTGCCGGGCCCCAGCAGCACCGAGCGGGGCAGGGCGGCGGTTCCCGGTTCCCAGCCCGGCTGGCGCAGGCCCCGGCGCGGCCCCGCCCGGGGAGGGGCGCGGGGGGCCGGGCGGGACGCGCCGCCCCCTCCACCTGCTGCCGCTGCGCCATCGCCGGCTGGGGGAGCCGCCGCCCGCTCGTCCCCGCGGGCCCCTTTGTGCTGCTGCTGCTGCTGCTGCTGCTGCTCCGGAGCTGCCTCAGCCAGGCGGCGGCTGCGTCACGGCCCCGGCGCTGCGGCCGCCCCAAGCCACCCGCGGAGCGAGAGCCGCGCCTCGCCCCCCGCTCCGCCATCGCTGCGCCCCGAGCCAGGGCCGGCAGCCGCGGCGGTGAGTGCCGGGGTGGGCGAGGGCAGCGCCGGGGATGGGCATGGGGCTCCGAGCCCTCCGCGGGCTGCGGGCGGTGCCGCACCGGGCCGCGCCGGCGGCATCGCTCGCACCGCGCTGACGCGTCGGGGATGTGGGTGCTGCTTTGTGTGCGTGCAGCGCTGGGGTTTTGTTAATTTTGATAGTAGATGCTCTGGTCGCCGTTCGTACTTCCCAGAACGCCAGTAGCTAACCGAGTCATAGCGACCAACACGGATTTTTTTTTTTTTTTAATTTTAAATTTTTTTTTCCAGAAGGTATTTCGGGTCCCCACGAGGGCTGGGAAAAGGTCTGTTTTCTGATATTTTGTATTTCTTTGCGTGTGTGCCTGTGTGTGCCAGCAGAAAAATCCCTCTATCCTGGAAGAATGGTGAAACTGGGGAATAATTTCAGCGAGAAGAGCACAAAGCAGCCCCTTTTGGAGGATGGATTTGACACCATCCCCCTGATCACACCCCTGGATGTCAATCAGCTCCAGTTCCCACCTCCTGATAAGGTACAGTAGGCTTTAGTTTCCACCCTGGAGAATCACACCCAAATCTCTGGCAAACAACAAAAGAATAGGTTATGGGTAGAGAGCAGCTTAGGAACGACAAGAAATAAGGGGTGTTTCAAGGCATGCTAGTTACCTCTAGGGAAAAACCCCAACAGCTAAGCTCGTGAAAGTCCACTAATGGTGATTTTCATTAAAAATCAGCGTGAAATGTTAGCAATAAGCATGTCGAGATTTTAGTGCTGCTATATGAAACATATACTATACAAATGGAAGCTTCTCTAGACTGTATTGTGATAGTCTTTCCTATTCTATGTCTTTCTTTCTTCCATCTGGAAGGTCCTGTGTATTCTCTGTGGATAATACAAATTTTCTCTGTCTAGAAAATGCCCCCCTGATGAGGGAATAGAGCCCTGCCTTATTTCTCTGTAAGATGGGCTTGGGCATACTAGCAACAGAGAGCACTTCCATTTTCCTTCTGTGCTTCAGTAAGAAACTAATGCTAACCCCAGACAGGCTGAAATAATGAGATGAGAACAGGCCACTGAGTTTTCTCCTTGGCAATTTATTTTGTTCAAAAACCTCCGAATAGGTGATTCAGATATCCTCTGTAGCTGGAAGGGGCCAGTCCAGTGAGCTGCTTACAGGCTGGAGGGGGAGTGTGCTTCCTGTATTCCTCATTAAATCCCGTGATTATTAGGGATGTAATTTTAAAGATTTAGAAAGGTGATGTGATGGCCTGTAAATATGTTTATTGTCCTCACAATAAAGAATTCAGTAAGTGCTACTACATGTGAGGCACATAGGAGTAGGATTTTTTCAGGGTTTTCAGTATCCTGTTTTAATAGGATTCTTACTTGTAATTTCCCACATGCATCTGCTAATAAAAAGCTTTGTGGTCTTCATACAGTTTTTATTTTTGGCCTTGTGTCTTCCACAAGCTGAATTCTACTTGTAGATAAACTGATAGCTATACATGCCTCAAACCTCAAAAAATTCACATAATCTGAACTTAGGGTAAAGAGTTTTAGCTTGTAAAATTTTTCTCGGTGGAGTGTTGCTTGTAGGCAATACAAATAAATGTGTGACCTCCATTTTAATTGCTATCAACACCATTCTGTGTTGTGTGTGGTGACCAGTTGGCAGGCATAAATGCAATAAGCCATAACAGCTGTTCAGGAGCCTGAGGGTCCATTTTATGCCCTCAGTTACATGGGTGTAAATCTTGTAACTGAGGACAAAATCACACCCTGAGGCTTTAGGACAAGCTAAGTCTTACCGTGTCTGATACATCTGCCAACTGGTGACTGGATAGAACCGATTACCAGGGACCAGTGACCAAAGGGATTTGTTCTGTTCCTGCACTGCTAAGCAGAAGTCTGAATGAGGGATCTGCATGGTAACAGCTTTAACCTGAGCAGAGCCTCTGTTGTGAGCCCAGGGGGCTCTGTGCCAGCCCATTTGCTCCTACTAAAATGGGCAGAACTCCTCCCACCTGTTTGGCATTTGCCTTGAATGAAAGCAAATGTCCAGCTAAGCTGGAAACTTAAATAAAGGAATATTTGATTGGCTCTTCTACTTGCCACTGTCCAATTGTATATTGGCTTTCTTTTCCTTTGGCAAATATAGAGGGGGAAAATTAAATTTATTGGTCCTGCTGGTGTCCTTCTGTAACTGGTTAGTCATGTCAGTGTCTCTTTACTGGTTGTTAGAGACTCAAAGGCAGGAGCAGAGCAACTGACATGAAAAAAAGAAACTGTATTAAGAAAAGATTGACACACAGATCAAATTCTGAAGTATGCAGACCCTCATGTATAATGAATAGAAGTACATTCTTCATATGCCTATGGTTATTATCCACTTGCAAGGCTCCAGCATGGCAGTGAAGCATAACTTCTTGAACAGTAGAGACTACAGTGCTAAGGATTTGATGATTTTGACAGTTTCTAAATTAAAGGGATGAAGTGATTTAAATTCATATTTAGATATGTTAAACAAAAGAAGACATTACATAACCAAGCAGTTAGAACTGTACATTCAGTGTCAGCTGAATGTGATTTGAGTTGCCTGAGATTATGTAACATAAAGGGGGGAGGAAGGGAACTAAGATGTTAAAAAGCATTCCAGAAATCATCAGGTGGTTAGCTTCCATGATTCTGTTGGGCAGCTATAAAATAAAATAGGTAATAACTAGTATCTTACTAATTATAACTGAAAATAGGTAAGTAGGTTTTAAACTTATGTCCTGAACAAGTATGTGTAATACTGTGAAAGTGTCTAATAAACTTTTAGTACTGAGTCTAGGTACAGTTACACATTCCAGGTACCACTCAGGGCAGTGAGAAGAAGGGAGCCCAAGGGTTGTCATTTCAGTGTCTGGCTGCCTGAAGTGTCACCATCTTAATTTCAGAAAGATGGGGAGAGCCTGTTTACAAGGGGCTGTAGTGACAGGACAAGGGGAGATGGCTTTAAACAGAGAGAAGGTTTGGTGTGAGGGTGCTGAGGCCCTGGCACAGGGCCCACAGAAGCTGAGGATGCCCCATCCCTGCAGGTGTTCAAGGCCAGGCTGGATGGAGCTCTGAGCAGCCTGGTCTAGTGGGAGGGGTCTCTACCTTGGGCCATGGGGCTGGAACAAGATAATCTTCACAATCCCTTCCAACCCAGGCCTTTCTGTGATTAATGTATTTGCTATTAATACCGTGGGCTGGGATAAAGATAGAATTTGATTTTCAGAAAACTAAAAGAGTAGATACTTATTCCTTGGAAAAACAGAGATAATTGAGCAAATTGTAATAGCACCATCACTACCATAAACTGTACCCTAGCTTGAGAATAATACTTGGAAAAAGTTCCTGAAAAATGCAGAAGACAAAAATGAGGCAAATAGGTTAGGTATGTGAAAACTCTGTATGATTAGAATGCCGAGGAGAACACTAGAGATACGACTGACGTAGTGAGTATTTTGGGAATAGGGGTAAGGTGCTAAATTGTGTAGCTTGGGGCAGTAGTTCATAGCAAGGAATAAACTGAAGAGCCTTGGGTGTTTGAAGAAATCTCATTAACACAAGGGTTCGTGTGCATCTTGCTGCTTGCAGCTGATAATTCAGAAATTAGATGTTAAAAATAAGAGTGCCAAGGGCCATAGTCTATCATATGGTGAATAGCAACTAGACTACATGGGTTATTTCACTTTGGTTTAAACCTAAAATCCTGCCATCAAAGAACATGGCATCATCATCTGCAAGATTTTTATGGGTACTCTTCAATAATCTTCTGTTGGTGTCCAATTTGAAATCCCATTAATTTCAGGGATTTCCTGAAGCAAATGGAAGTAGCCATTTCCAAACCATCCATAGTGGGAAGGTCCATGATTTGGATTTGACCTATCCTTGCCTAATATAAGAACACAGTATCACCACAGATGAAAAAATTGAACCTTTGTCAAACTGTTGCATAACAAGTCTTGCTGTAGGTTCATCAGAACCACTTTGAGAGGTAAGTTAGTTGATGATTGATATACTGGAAAAAATAATTAATAATTTAGCACTTTCAAAGAAGAATTACACAAAGTGGGGAGGGGAAAGATATGGTGCTAGATGTGCTTGTAAGCAGATAAAAGAAGAGTTAAAGAACAATTAAGGTTTTTGTGGCCAGCTTTAATTGACAGTTTTGTGATTGATTCTTCTTCTTAAAGGTTGTGGTCAAAACAAAAACAGAATATGAACCTGACCGCAAGAAGGGAAAGTTCCGTACGCCTAAGATAGCTGAATTCACAATCAGCATCACTGAAGGGGTTTCAGAAAGATTTAAGGTAAGCTGTGCCATATGAAGATGTTAATGTCTCAGTTGTGTTTGCAGAAGTGCTTAAAATCAATTGCTGGTTGTAGTCAGAACTGGCTATAACAGAGTGCCTGTTGTGGATATAGCTGGACATGAGAAAAATTAATTCAATGTTATAATAGTTCAAAATTGAACAATTAGAAACAAAATCAAATCTTGCAGCTTTATTGCTTGTAATCCTCACTGGCAGATGAATTCCAAAGGCATTTCTGTCAGTGTGTGGGCTCCAGAATTGCCTTGCCAGGGTGTGTGTGGGCTGCACAGGGGAGTACTCATGGCATGGGCAAAGCTCCTGTTTCTGTTGAAGGACAAGAACCACCAGAACATTTCTTTTCTTTTTGGCTTCTTATTTATCACTATGGCCAAACCATTCTCTTAAAAGCACTGTCATAGTCCATTATGTATTTTTTATAGTTAAATATATGACTTGGCAACCCAGGGATATAGATCAGAGCTCTTTCCTATCAGTTTTCCTGGTCCCATATAATCTTATGGTTTGGTGATGCCTGTTACTGTCACATGGCAGTTCAGAAAGAATCTGACTCAGATTGTGTCTACACCCTTACTACTCCCTTCATCAGTCCCACAGGCTTATCTGATGCAAGGCTTGAATATCCTTTCCCCTTCCCACTAGAGGATAGTTTTTCTTGTTCTGGGTAATTAAGGCAAAGCAGGAAAGCTGGCACTTCAGCTCGTGCTCCCCTGTCCTTTTAACAATAAGTCTGCAGGTTTCCAGTGCTTCTAATTTGGCATCTTACCCAAGGATACCAAAGCATTTTTAAGCAGTAGGCATCCACACTCTGCAGTGCACAAGTGCAAATACCTTTGGAAAGCCTAATATTTAGTATGAGGGGAAAATACAGAGTTTCAGTAAAGGTGTGGATTCTCTTTCTACTGCACAGTTCTAAACTTTGTCTGCATGATAGGAGTTCTAGAGCACACACAGAGATTTTGGTACTGTTGTGCTCTAAAAGCTGCCCAGGCCCAAGCTGACCTTCAGAAGTGTATATGCAGCTCTCAGTGGAATCAGAGCATGCTAAACAAACAAAGTGAAGGCTCAAGGAGGGATTAGACTATATTTGGAAAGGAACTTTGCAGAGTGTTGCTGCGACAAATGTTTTAAGTGCCATTCACGTGGTGGTCTCCAGCCACAGAGTGAAGCATGTGGGTTACAGTTAGCTGTGTGGGGAACCCCAGACAGCCAAGAAGAGATGTGATGGGGTGTGGTAGGGTTTTACCAAGGAAGTAGGAATCCTAGTTCCAGCTTTTCCTGTCCCTTGCTTTGGGGCAAAGACATCCCATTCCTCAGGGAAAATGCTACATTCTGACTCCCATTCTCTCTTTGTCCTCCTGGCACCATGGTACCAGTCCTTGAGAGCAATCCCCTTCCTCTCAGGTGAGGAGAGTAGGGTAAATGCAAATGGGCAGCTCAGAACAAGGAGAGCTTATGTCTGGCTGTCTCTGTGTGTGTCCTGGTCACACTGAGGTGATTGGAAAATGCTTACAGTGTTGTAGAAGAGAAAGGAGAGGCAGTTTTTTGTTTGAATGCCCTGACAGGACTTTGGTTCCAAGCAGCTGAGCAGAGCCTATACCTGAAGAACTTTGCACTTATGGTTTAGCAGCAGGGCCTAAGGGATTTAATTGCTGGAACATTAAATTGTAGCTAAGGAAAGGTTTTGAATATCTTAGTCACATTTAAAAGGCTTGTGCATCCTTTTGTAAAACTGGGGGGGGTTTCTCTGTCTTTGTTGGGAGAGCTGAGCAAATGAGACCTTGCTGAAAACAAATAAATAGCTTGTTGTGCTGTTGGGTAGTCTCTTCTAATTTGTGTAGCTGAACAGCTAAAAGCCTGAGGATTTTTGCATTGCATTTTTATATACCTTTGGATGGCATACTTAAATAAAATGTCCTTTAGATGTTACTTTATGATGATCGCTCTGGGATTAATCTCATACTACAGGGTTGCTAGGTTTTGCTGCTAGGTAACTGCTGCATCAGAGAGGTTTCTGTAGGATTTGCTATCTCTTGGGAATTGCAGGGTGATTCACAGTGTGGCTGTAAGTCTAGGTTTCCAGAGAAGAGTGTGGGAATAGATCAGTTAGGAAAATTTTGGTTCAGTTAATTGAAAACAATGTTCATGCAGAACATTCGGGTCCTAAAAATGTCCCTTAATCTCTATATAACAATTTTAGAATTGAATTATGCTGGTTGCAACATTTTCAAGAAAACTGACTATCTCTCCAGTGGGGATGACTGTCGTATTCACCACTCCCACTAATAAATATTACATGAATAGTTGATAACATTTCATAAATATGTAGATGAAAAGTACTGATTGTGTGAGGTTTTCTCCTGGGTCCTTATTAATTGTGAACCATCATGTTAACTTCTGCTGTTGATTCTGAGAGAGCAAAAAGATATTTGTTTGAAAATTAAATATTTGTTGTAATTATGAAATGCATTATTTAACTGGTGAGATATTGACTTTGGCTTGTGTTCATGAAAAAACTTTCAGATGCCATTTTAATGACTTCAGTATGGTACATCACCAATGCACAAGCTTGCCACAAGACACAGCCCAAGTGTTGTGCTAAAAATAAAGCAAGTGAGTCAGTCATATTTACAAATAATTCACATGTGTATTCTAGGATGTACTCCTTAAATAATGACAAAGCAGATTGCATTTTTGGGATTCAGCAGTGCAGATCATCTAAAGCTGTTCTTCTTGAGAAGTTACACATTATAACAAATGAAGTAACTCCAGCATTGCATGTCATGTAGATCATTTAGTGTTTTAGCTGTTTTAGCACCTGGTGAATAATCAATTATAAAATGTATTTTTCTGCATTCAATTCACATTACCACAGTTATAACAGAGCTGAGAATGTTTTCAAAGAAAACTGCAAGTATCATTTTCCTCTATGAAGCCACATTCTGAATTCAGATCGGAATCTCTCAAAAGAATGTGAAGATTTCCTGACTCTGAGAACCCTGTTGTCTTAATTTATTTTTATGGCAGTAACCACACCAAGGAAGATGTGACTTTTTTCACTTAAGATTATTTCCCATTGAGAAACAGATGTCTTGCTTTTGTTCTTTGAACAGTGTAGCCTGATGTAGGGAGTTGGTTCTGGAAAACATCTGGAAAGTGACTTTGAACAAGGCAGATTTTTTCCTCTTGTAAATTGTCCACTCTACAGAGTAACAGAGGATCCTTCTGAACCGGGACATAGGAGGAAGGCAGGGCAGAAGAAAATTGATGGTCTGAGTTACCCAAAGCCAAACCTTTGCCTCCCCCATTGACAGAACAGTGCTTTTACAACCTCCAGTTGGATTTTGTAGTGGGATGTCTACTCTGGCACCCACTGATTGGGCTACAGCTGGCAGTTGTGTACAAACACAACAATTTTAAAAAATCTGTTGTAGCAAAGCATGACTTTTTTTTTCGGTCTTTGAGAAAACATCAATAAAGAACATTTAGAGGTATTTTGCAAACAAACACTGATTTTTCATAATAAATTTCAAGCCCTTAAATCCACCCAAGCTGTGATATGCCTTCAGCCTTTGGTTTCTGTTCAAAGGCAGTTCAGTTCTTCTGACTTTATCTTTGACATCTCTACATACATCTAACTGCAGAGCCAAGCCTCAAGCTTATCTCTGTGCTAAGACCATGCAAAGTGTGTACTATCAAGTAGCAGTCAGCTGATGAAATGTCTACATGAAGTTATGGAAGAGGAATTGAAACTTCAAGATAAGTTCTTGCAGTTTTACCTGGTCGCTTCAAGACTGCAAAAATGCAAGTGCCATATATTGAACTGTTCAGGGCTTTCTTCTGCCTTAAAAGGGGCATCCTTCAAACATGTTTCTGCCTCAACAATTTTTTACCTCTTCTTAGCAATGCCAGTGATTACTATTGCTGCAAAAATAATCAGAAGCAAGGAAAACAGTTCTCTCTTTGCTGCTGTGCAATTACTTTGTGTGTTGAGTAGCTCTTTGCTTCCACTTTAAAAGTCTTTTAAGAGCAGGAGATGTCAACTGATTCCTGTACAGGTATCACTTCCTTAAGTAGATTCTGTGTCTGTCACTTAGTGCTGGAAGAGTGACAGGTACTTACTGTCATTAGTAGTTCTGTTTCTCCAGTGGAACTGCTCACAGGATTAAAGTTTCTCACAAGTATAAGTGCTTGGCAGGCTTTACATTTTTTCATTACTACTTCAAATAAGAAAAATAAAGGAGGTAGTTCTTTCAATGTAACAATTACTTTAAAATCATTGATGCAAGTAAAGGCACTGCATGTCAACTGTCACTTTTCCTTTTTTTAATGTTTGATATTCTTTGATATGACATTGACAATCCTCCTGCTAAATTTTTGGTTGAAAGGAATTTTATAGTCAGCGCTGGAAGATTTAAGTAGAGTGGATGCTTAACACAGCTCCCCTGCTATAAGTCAGGTGTCCTGTGCCACTGTTCCCATTAGAAATCCATTTACTGGAACAGAACCAGTCACACAGGTGACACAGATGATGTTTTGGATGTCTCCAGATGCATCACTTAAATAACCTTTCCTGTGCTGTAATAACATTATGCAGCCTTTTTCCTGGCCTCAATAGTATCTTCTGGGTTTGTATGAGAAGGTAGTAAGATTCTTATCTTGGTGCCACAGGCTTTCTTGAACTGCTTCCTCAGATCCCTGTTAAGAAATACAAGATGTGGTGCTGTGTGATAGAAGATGACAGGAACATTGCCATGAACAGCAGAGTTAAGCTGCAGTTCTAGGATCTCGAGGCCAGTGCCTTGTTAACCTGTTTTTGTGTAACAGTGTGTCCCTCAGGTTTCATTAATCAATTCCCTTGCAGACTGGTCCTGTTGTCTTGCACTGTTGCTGTTAATAAGCTCTGGTTCTGTAGCTTCTTTTTTCTTCCTGTCCTCATGAATCTGCCTGCCTTTTTTACATCTTTTGCTGCTAACTCC